CAAAACATTACGTAATTTTGCGCTATAAGTTTCGTAATTTTGCATAATATATTTCGTAATTTTACGTTATTTATTGCGCAATATTTCGCAATTTTTTGCGCAATATTATGTCCAGACTGTAATTATTGCGCAATATTTCGGGCCATAATAACTTACGTAAAATTACGTTAATATATTTCACTGATGTAGATCACTGCTACCTTTAAACTTAGGGCTTGCCAAATAGGTTTTCAGTTATTCTGGTTTCTCAAATTTATTATACCAAAGCTTCTATAACTAGATAATATAACTGAGATTACAAATTTAATTTTGGATCCAATCAATAATTGATAACCATCAACTATAATATAGGCTATTTTTTCAAATATCATTATCTATAAGATTTGAACTCTAGATTTGCTACTTAAAGAGGGTGATGACTAGACTACTATACTAAGTTACTACATCTCTTAATAAAATATTTTAATAATATAATAGTTCTATAATAAATATATTAAATTATTAATAGATTTCTTAGAAGAGAGTTAATAAAGCTTACTAAGACTTTTATTATATATTAAATATATGCTGTTTATATTTTTAAAAAATCAAGATTTCTGTAAAGATATATTACTTTGTTAGAATTATCTTGTAAATAAACTAGCTTAAATTAGTAAGTTTTAAGATAGAGTATAAAATCTAATTAGAATAAATAGCAAAATTCACTTCTGTATAATAAGCAATACTCAGAATTAGACAGCAATTGTAATTAAAGAATTTAAATAGACAACCTATAGTTAAAATGTAAATATAGCAAATAGTATAAAACTTTCAGGCAGACTACTTAAATTAAATACCAAAAATGTATATATAACTTGGTATACACTTATTGTACTATATATTTCCAAAAATAAGCTACCCTCTCACTTTTGAGCAAAAAACTAAGAATCCTCTCTTATCTGAAAATAAATTACCTCCAAATTTTTCAAAAATTTTTAATAGTTGTTATATATAAAAGTCAAAATTATACTAAGTAAATATATATTTTGACTATAATAGAAGTTGTTTAGAATTTAAAAATACATATATTCTGAAAGTTTCATAAAAGTTAGATAACTTTTTATTAGTATACTTTTGCATTTTAAATTCAAATTTAAACTGCAAAAGTGAATAATAAAATGTTATTCAAATTGTATGAAACTTTCAAAATATATGTATTTTTAAATTCTGAACAACTTCTATTATGGTCAAAATACATATTTACTTAGTATAATTTCGACTTTTATATATAGTAACTACTTTTACATATATAAAAACTACTTTTACTTAATAAAAAATAGTCATTACTTGAAAATAAGCTACTTCTGAAATTTTTGTGTAATTTTTTGCCCAAAAATAGTAGCTTATTTTCGGGAATATACGGTAATTGTAAAAATATTTAATACACTTAATAAAAAGTTCCTAAACCAAAAAAATCACATAAAAATGAGTTAATAAAAATCAACCAAATTTTTTATAATTTTAAACAAAAAATAACAACAAAACCTTAACCAAATTTAATAAAATTTTTTTAAAATAATTTTTACAGACTTGTAAAATTAATTTTAAAAAAATTTTATTAAATTTAATTAAGTTTTTATTAAGTTATTTTTGTTTAAAGTTTTTAACTTAACCCCATATTATACAAATTTTTTTTTAAAAAAACCAATTTTTTAAAAAAAATTTTTATTTTGTTACACAAAGCTGATCTACATGTTACACCTATTCTTAAATTTTAATTGGTTATAATACTCAAGCACTACAATGCTATAGCAATTCTTATAAATCTAATAGAATGTAGAAGGTCGTTTAGCCAAAAAAGTGGATTTCTTTCCACCTCCACGAACAACTCGGTGAGGAAGAGGGAATTTAAGTTTCGAATCAATGAGTTGTCTAATATAGGGACGTTTAACCTGAGAAAAAAAAGTATGAACATATATTAATATAATCATAAAGCAAACTAAAAAGAATCATTTGATGAAATAATTATTACTTGTGGAGTTTTTAACTCTGCAACACGTATAATTTGGATAGATGAAAATCTAGCACGGTGACGAGCAGCCATGTCTTGATCTATTTAAAGATCGCAACTATAAATAAATTTGCAAAATATGATTTAGATAAAAATACTATATACTCACAACAAGAGGTAACTGCGTCGTTTCTGTTTTTTTATTTCCAAGAAAACACGAATCCAATTAATCAAAATACAACGATAAATTAAATCACTAGATGCAAAACCATACCTAGTCAATTCTCTATATTCTTTATACATGTTATGTGTACCGGAACGAGAATCATATCGAAGAAATATGCCATAATTCTTGATTCGTAACGGTCTTTTCTCAAAGATCTTTTTGAAATAACAATTTTATTCAGTAACGATGATCATAAAAAATTAAATCAATTCGAAACTCATTACCACTAACTATTCCAAAATAAACATACCTCATTAATGGAAACAATTTCACCGGCGGCTTTTTTAATCTTTCTAAGTTTTGTTAAGAAATACCAGAATCTACTTTTTGCTACAACTTCATTAGGAGCAAAAAGTCTCATACGATAAAGACTTGGTACTGGATCTTTTTCACTTGGTAGTTTGCGACCAATGACTTGATATTCATGCAACTGTAGTCACAATGTTATTTTAATGTTATTATTGGGGTTATATAAAATTCATTTTTTATAAACCAATCATTTCACTCCCCATATAGTTGAAAAAAAAAGGTTAGAACTTACTCTACCCATTTTGCGAAGAGGAGGAAGGCCTATTTGATTTACGAAGTGATTTTTATTAAAAAAAAAAATTTCGTCATCAAATTTTTGTATTGCCACGTGATTAGAGATAATCTTTTAAAATTTTTAACGAGACACTCGGTCAAATTAGCAATAATGTTCGCTATTCGACCTGTTGTGGCTAATGTTACTACCCAGAGGTAATTGTTTATAAAACGAATGTTTATCTTACAATAAAATTTTACTTTTTAGCTGCGAATTTAGCATAAAGCGTGTTGTTGCTATGGTTGAGCTCCGATTTTAATATGCTATGAACTTCTAGTGTTGGATGTCAACGTCGCAATTATGCCACCTTAAAAGAAAGTAAGTTTATGTCATTTAATTCTCTTTTTGCACGTAATTAAGTTCTCGAGGGAGTACTAATAAATTCACATTCTTTAACAGTTCAATTACGTTTAAAGTCTGTCCGCAGTATCGCAAAGGTTATTTTTTGTCATTGGAAACTAATAGAATTTTCGGATAGGATTCTGAAAGTTATTGCATTTGACAGATCACGAAATCCATGAAAATGATCGCATCGACAAAGATGACTCGGTAAATGATCTTATTTTTTTCTAAAATGAATTCGAATTTAACAATAATATTTATTGTATGTTTGTTTGAAAAAAAAATCGGTCAGTGCTCAAAAAGCAATGGAAGTTGCTAGAACATTTGGTGCTACTCAAACTGGTATACCATGCACGCACGAATTATACAATTAATTTTGTATCGTGACACTTCTTATCATTAATATATCTTTTAGCCCTTTTTACCAATGCTGATACTAAACCAACCGAGGAAGGAACTACCTTAGTTATTACCGTATCATCAGATCGTGGACTATGTGGCGGTATCCATTCAAGTGTATCAAAAGCTTCTCGTAAACATGTCGCTGAAAAACCAAATTCGCAAGTTGTGGTATTAGGAGATAAAGCAAAAGCACAGCTTTCACGTACAATTCGTAATAATATACGGCTTTCGTTTAATCAAATTGGAAAGGCTACCCCAACTTACGCCGAAGCGTGTGCTATCGCCGACACTATATTGAAAGAGAAAATTGAATTTGATCAGGCTATAATTGTTTATAATTATTTTAAATCAGTGATTTCTTATGAAGCTGAAACAATTCCTGTATTTTCAGAATCTACGTTTTCCAAATCCGGTATTTTATCTTTGTGCAGCGACATAAAGCAAAATGATCATAATAATACTAACTTAAGAATCTCATAATGTTTCATAGGAAACTTTGATGCATACGAAGTTGAGGATGATGTATTAGAAAATCTTCATGAATTTGCGTTAGCAAATTCAATTTATTGGGGCCTCGCTGAAGGTCATGCGTCAGAAATGGCATCAAAACGCAGTGCAATGGAAAATGCTACAAAGAATGCTGGTGAAATGATTGATAAACTTACGTTAACTTATAATCGTGGTAGACAGGCTGTTATTACCAGTGAATTGAGTAAGCATATTGAGCACACACATAGAAAAATGTGACTTAAATGTTTTTATAATTAAGAGTATACTAACATTACCTTCTTTATAGTTGACATTATTACTGGCGCTTCTGCGATTTAAGTTTTATAATTGCACCGATAGTCTTGTAATGTGGATTACGTACAATATAGTAACCTTTATTAATAAAAGTTATTTTATTTTTTAAGTAAAAAAATCATTACATATCCAAAGTCGTTTACGCGCAATATTTCGAATCGCCGCATAACATTCAAATGACCACTAAACAAACAATTAAACACTAACCGCCTAAGGAGGACAAGCGCCTGAATCAATTGCCCGGGTAACTAATTTATACAGTTAAAAGTACTTTGGGCATGTTTCACTAATAAAAATACAAAATTTGATAATCTTTCGCTTCGTAAGAACGCTACTGTTCATTATAATGATTTCGAAACTGAAATACTTTACTTAAAAGACAAATGGGGTCTTTACCTTGAAAATCAAGTTACGACATTTCCCGATCGAGCTAATTCGGACGAAAACGGACCAAAATGCCGGGTCATATTCATATGTAAATCACCTTTAGCTTTATTGATTCAATAGTATATTGAATAAACTATTGAATCAATAAAGCTAAAAGGCGATTTACATATGAATATGACCCGGTATTTTGGTCCGTTTTCGTCCGAATTAACTCGATCGGGAAATGTCGTAACTTGATTTTCAACCTAACTATAGAAAATCTATCTTCTCGGAACTATAGCAAAGAATTTCAAAATTGTGTACTTGAAAAGGATGTATATACTGTATATATGCTATAAAACCAAATTATAAGATTTTATATAAAGAATATATTTATAAAAAAGTATTGCTAATTTGCAAAGTGATGCAAAAGTTACATTTTTGATACTTTAAAAGTATTTTTCTTGATGCTTCTATAGTAAAAATATCAAAAGTGTAACTTTGAATTTTTTGTTTGTTTCTATTTGCATATTTGTATAATACAACAAATTCTATATAATTTGCTCCAAACTTATAATGGTTTCTGTTTTTAGTTATTGTCCGAAGTAGAGGTCTAACTTGGTTAAAAAATTTGTATTTGAATATTCATTTGTTTAATACTTTAATATTCGAATATTTAGTGAAAAATTTTGAATGAATATTCAAATATTCATTGAATATTCATTGAATATTATATATAGTATAAACTAATTTTATACTTTATTAATATTAATATTATTTTTTTTTTTAAGCGATCCTGCTTCTATTTATTTTATGAACTGCTATAAGATTATTATTATTATTATACAAATAACAACCAAAATAGTGTGGTGTTCTATCTTAATAGAAACTCATCAAGTGTACAAAGTACTGTCCAATGTAACCTGCTATAACAACTATTTGTCTTACAAAAGGATTCAAAACTTGCTTTAGATTTTGTATTAACTAAGGATACCCCCTTGATCATTTGACAAGTTGTTGTATACCGTGTCAGGATCTTCTGTTCTTTCTTTAAAACTTTTCTCATCTAGATCTAGGCAGAATAATTATCTCCTACTTTTTTACAAGCCAAAAACATATATGCTATGTTTACAAAAAAAAAACTATATCTAGAAGAAGAAAAGATAAAAAACAGAATACACAAAGAACATATTCTAAATAAGATTCTATCATAAATAAACAAAGATGAAAAAAGCATAAAAAAAGGTCAGGAAACCCTGACACACACTATTATAACCCATGCCAGGTTTGTGAA